AAGGGCACAGCTGATCTGCTGATCTGTAGTCTGCAGCACTCAGGGTGCTTTGTTTACTTAATGCAAAATCAATAAGTTTATTTCCAGGACAGTAATTCCACCATTCTCTTGAAATAGCTGCCTAATTTTAAAGTCAAGTTCAGACCCTCACTGCAAAAGAATCTAATAGCAACCCACAAAAGAAGAAACCGCCTCTCAGACAAACATGTTGGAACAGCCTGTAGAAAGCTATAGACTTGTCAGACCAACAATTCACTGCACATCTGTGTCTGCCAATATAGAATTTACTCAAAATTGCCTCTCTAGACACTTCTTTACATAACACATATTTAGCTTATTAGTGCTGTCATTTGGGAGTGTGGTCAGCTTTTGAGCAAAATCTCACTGAGTCCATTAGCTCGGATCACATCACAGCTGCCATTTTAGGATCACAATGATTAGGTTTGAAGTTCAAATGATTTGATTTCACTTTAAAGCTTCAAAAGCAGCCTCTGGGGTAGGTTTACACAATTAATTTTTACTGAAGTCTGCTGGGTAATTCACTGTAGTCAGAGAATCTTCACTAAGGTAAGGTAATTACCACTGGGTAATTTTACGGCACTCTCTTCAGTATGAAGCAACGTGTTGGCTGACCTGCTCAGATAAGACCTGGAAGAAAGTAAAAATGCTGCTTTTGGGAACCAAAATGTTTATGAGACATTGAGGAGGGATGAGAAGAATTCACTCACTTCCCAGATGTGGACCAGAAGCTGTACATGCCCTCAAAATGTCTTTTCAGGAGAGTGCACGAGGACTTACAATCTTGTAAATATTGTACTGAGAAGCTTTCAAAATTGAAGTACTGTACCCATGATTCTTTAAAACAGGAACAAAGAATGCAGCCTTTGTTTAGTTTGAGCACAGACGTAAACAATGAAATTAAATATCCCTTTGAGATTTGTATTTATCACTTACAAGAAACACTTCCTAACAATCAGTGGCAGCTAGGTTGACAGGCAGACTTCAGAGCAAAACCAGAGGGGATACAAGTCTATTTTAAGTTTACTATTGACAAAAAGGGTCAGAGGAAAAATAAACTCAGCAAGCAGTGTCATGCTACCACAAACCTCTGCTGGCCAAGCAGAAACTAAATTACAACCAAACATTTCATACAACAGAAAGACTTGGGCAATTGGGCTGCCCTAAAGTTCACGGAGCTCAACATACAGATGCACAAGATTAAGCACAAGTGAGACACAACATAAATAACAAATAAATCAAAAGTTTGGAGGAGCTAATTATCCCATACTCTGGAGTGGGGCACATTATGCTTACCCCTATTATTTTAATATTTCAAATCCACAAAATTAATCTGGCCAATCCTGTGAAAACAAGGACTGATCATACTCTCCTTCAAGATATCCTTCTTTTAGTCAAGGTATAAATAATATAGATAATACCAAATACCAGACCGAACTTTAAGAACAAAAGAGCAGCAGAAGGACTTAGATGCTATTTCTATCAAAAACATTTTATTATATATTATAAGTATATAATAAAAGAAAATAAAAATATTTTTACTGTAAAAGTTTAGTCCTCAGCTTCATTTCATGTACTGTAGTCATGCTGGGGAAAGCTCATTTGATTGCTGTATCATACTAATAAAAACTAAAATTTGTGTAAGGGGAAGAAGAGGGAATAAAGCATATTCCATATCAATATTGCTTCTGATGGCTTTAATTTTGTTAAGTTTACTTCCTACTACAGCTGCTGATAAAAGCAGCTGTGTGGACTCAAAAGTACCTCTATCTACATCTCTCCATGGACTAATTACAAATATCTGTTCCATATAGTCTCAGCATCTAAGACAGATTTAATTTTATTCTACCTTTCACTAGGCATAAATAAAAACCTGTCATTCTAACCATTATTTTGCTTTCCTTTTTCTCTACCTATCATCCACTGGATGCAAACACAGTCCTGTAATTCCCACTGTTCTGTTGTTTTCTTATTCTTTGGTTTTTGTTTGTTTGTTTTGATGGAGCCACAAATGTTTTGTCCATTGTTGGGGCCAGTTGTTTGAAACAAAGAAGACTTTTCAAATTTCAAGCATAATCATGCAGGACAGAAATGGCCAGAGAAGTTCTTAGTGCCCTTTTCTTTTAACTGGTGGTGATACACTGATAATTCATAGGGGGCATCCATGTACCAGGAATAAAATTTTCCAGATTTTAAGAGGTCGTTTAAAAATCAGGTGCAGCTCTAGTGGGTGATACCTCATCATTGCTCATCTGTTCTCTGCCAAAATGATGCCCACCTGTGCTTTTCTGCTTGGCCATTTTAAGGTACTTGATTATCATTCTCCCATAGCTCTCTGCTCATCTGATACATCTCTGGGGCATTCAGAACAAGTACCTTGCTTGTAGCAATGCCACACTACTTGGCTGTAATTCTGGAGCCTACAGATTAACAAATTCTCCTGACTTTTCTCATGAAGCCCCATAATTCACCTCTTTCGCCAGCACTATTTTGAACTGCTGCAAGGTGGCATTGAGGGTACATATTGGGTCAGGTTCCACGGGGTGCTATGAGCATCTTTCTCATTAATACAGACAGGATGTCTCCTGTATGTTTGAAGTCTTATGGACTGATGGAAGAAAGTCAGCAGCTTCCAGTGGCTGCAGTAACACCCACAGTGATGGTGAGCAACACCAGCAGAATAAAATCAAAGGGCCCAGTTCCAGTGCAATGTACTCCATTCAGTGTATTTGGGATTGCTCTAGTAAATAATTTTTCTCCTCTTTTTCATTCAAGGCTCTCTGAGGAACCACATCAGCAGTTCCCTGAATCTTCTTTTCTTTATAAAAACCTTACTTTTGAAACTTGTCCAGCACTAAGACTTCTGAGTATGTTAACCATGGAGATGTAGGTGGTAAAGAAAAGGACAATAACAGGCTGTTCTTACTCTCCTTGTCACCAAATAAAATACTTCTTTCTCCATAACTTTAAATGCTGGTTCCACCCTCTCTTCTAAACCTCAGTTTCTTTTGGTACATTTCCTACTTCTCTTTCCATGTATGATGACTCTATATAAGTGCTGAAGAGTATTAAATTGCTTGGTGGAAAATTAATGGAGAAAGCAGGAATGCTAGAGAACAATCACTTATGCATTGTGGCTTTTGATAAGTTTGCAGTCTGAGTGGGCAGTAACATGAAGCTCATGAGTAATTGCAAATTACTCAAATTGGAGTTTGGCCTTTTTAGAGAACTTCAGTGAACCCAGAGAAGAGAGAAAAGGATCTTGTTGAAAGCATGAAGCAACAGGCATAAAGGAAGATGCACCTCACAGCTATTTAGCAAGGAAGTGTCTTGCTACCAAGGGTGTAAATTGGAAGGAAACAACTAATATTCAAGCAGCTTTATGTATGGTTTCTTTGCCTTATGATGCTCATGCAAACCAGAACCCTTCCTTTACCTTCAATCACATTACATTGCAGCCACCACAGCTAAGTTTAAACCCTGTGTAGCTTGTGTGCTGTTTCTGTATCTACTGTTCCATTCAATTTGGTTCATCTGCTGTGGTGCCAACACCTTGAGCAGGGCACTGAAGGAGGAGCAAGGAATTTGGAAGTGAAGGCACGGGCAAGTTCAGTGGCTGATGGTTGTGCAATTTAGAATTCCAGGAAGTAAGGCTGTTAAGGATTCACATATCCAGCACAGATGCATTTGAACACGTTAAGGAAGGTGTTTAATACCCATTTGGTGAAGAAAGGCTCTGACCTCCCTCAGTAAAATGCTATCATGTATGCTAAAATTTTAGCACGTATGCTAATCCACATATTCTTCATTTTCAGACTTTTTTTTGCAGACGGCATTTTTAACAAAATTTTCAGCTTCCATGCATTGAGGGCTTTTGCTGTTACTGCATTTCCCATGTGCTACAAGTCTTAAAATGCTCATAGAAATATCCCTGTTTGGAAACAAGTTACATAGGCCAGCAGTACTTGACATGGTATCTTGGGAACTCATTGCAGTTACTGAATGCTTGTCTGCTTCGTGGACAACCCTGTCTGCTTTCTAATAGGTTGATTACACCTACCCTAGGAACAGATTCATGAAAGGTCTGCTCCCTTCCCCTGTTCTGACATTATTTTGCAGGTGTGTGGTTTTGCTAGCTGGCAGTGAGATGTACAGGTGTTCTGCAGAAATCCACATAGCTGTACCCTGAAGAACAGTGGATATCATGCAAGTGCATAGGAAAATGTCAACTGATGGTGAAAAGGTGTTCTCTTGAGAGTCTCACAGTTTACAAGTGAAAAGAAGCACTGACTCAAAGGACAACATGACTTCAGAGTAGGGCACACGGATAAAAAGGCAGGGTCATCAAGTCTGAAACAATGCACTGTGGAAAACATCACGTCAGAAATGCTATTTGGAAAAAAGAAAAAAAAAAAAAAAAGCCAGTACATAAAGATACAAAACAACTGAAGTTTGGATTATCTAGACTAACATCCTGTGCGGACCAAGCACAAATATAAATTCTAAAGGGCCTTTCCTCCTGGACTTGTGTTATTAACAACATTACAGAGTTTCATTGGCAGAATTCAACATTATTGAGGCAACCTGCTGCAAACTTTGCTTATCTATACCTTTGTTTCAAGTTTCTAGAAACTTTCAAGGAAAACTGGGCACTAGGATGTTCTTGATGTTTAATAACATTTTCACATTGCTTCAATGATAAACAAAACCGACAAATGCATTTTCTCTCCAGTATTTCTCAAAGCAAACCAAGAACTTAGTCCCCCAGTGCTTTCACTGGTAAAGCTTTCATTAAACTTTTTAGAGCAACTCCTGTAAAAATAAAAGAAAATCCCCAAACCAACCCACCAAATACAAACCACAGAATCTGGCTAAAAGAAAGATGTTATCTAGCTGCACAATACCAGAGAATTTTCCCCCAGTAGAAACCCTGAAACAAAACAGAACCATAAAAGCAAGCATTTATAAGATGTATTACTTACAGTGTATTTCTAGAACCTGCATTGCTATCTGAGGTGTAGAGTTTAGGGACTCATGATCTACTCTGCAACTTACAACTGCACCATCATCATTGCGATCTGCTAAGAAATCCAGCGTGCTGCTGACTGTGAATGTTTTGCGGTTTGCATCTTCTTCTTTTAAATATTTAACATCTGAAAGAAAGAACAAACAAACAGTTTTCTCTCCAGTGTTTTCAGGAAAAGCAGTACCAGCATTAGACAGCTAAATTATCTACCACACTTCTGGAAAAAAACCCACGTCTTTCGTATTTGTATTGATTATCTCTTTAATATAAAAGTAATGAGATTGTAGTTATTCTTCATTTTCTGTCATTGTCATACTGACATATCGAAAAAGAAAATTTTAAAATTGGTTCCGTGATACTGCATTCAAGCAGAAATTCCATTCACTTTTTTCTCCTAAATGTTTATTTGATATAAAGGTTCTCTGCAGGTCATCAACAAAAAATGTGGTCTCCTCCCACTCTCATTATCTTACATATTCACAGTGCCACTAAATATCAAATTTTCCAATTTTCATGCTTACAATCTTTCACAATAACATAATATAAGAATATTACTGAAGGCATGTGCATGTAGTCAGATTAATCCTGTGCCTACTTTATTCCTTGCTTATTCTGTTGTTTGGTTAGAATCATGCTAATTTATGAATAAAACTAAACCAAGGTATAGTCATCAGTGGTTATGAACGAGTGTAAATAGAGCATGCAATAGTATTTACTGGAATCCACAGACAAGTCCCAAGAAGATGAGAAATAAAATTACTTCAGAGACCTTACACTGACTGTTTTATATCCAATTCTAAATTGACCTACTGCTTTTGTGCAGATTCAGTTAAAAAATCTGACAGTTTTCAGGCCAGGGACATGAGTGCAAGGAGCCTACATCTATGCTTAAGAAGTATCAACTCGGCTCAAAGTTAAGGTTCAAATTCAGAACATTTCATTGTAGGACATACCTGTTAGAACTGAAGATCCAAAAGACTGAGCATTTATGCTGAAATATTTTAATGTATTAACTGCAACATGAGATCTTCTTAAACATACTTTAGAATTGTTTTACTTGGTTTCCAGCTACTTATAATACTTATTGATCTTAGCTTATTTCAGAAAAATGGTAAGCTTGTTATATTGATTTATTGTAATGAAAGCTTGAAAAGACATATATAAATTCTTAAACATATACATAAAATTACACTGAGATTGCATATATCCTCTGTGTCCTGAAAAAAAAGTGAGTTTCAGTTTTACAAACTGTAGTAAATCCCACTTGGGAAGAAGTTGACCTGAATAAAATTTCCATGAAATACCAATTTTAGAAAGCAAATCTTCAATGGCTTTAGCTATACCTTTTTAGATTAAAAATACCAGGCAGTCTTTTTCGTTGTCTCCAGACTGAAGACACCTTGTACTTATACAATTTCCATTTTTCCCTAAGAAATAATTATGTCTTTCATTTTTCTGCCTGTTTGTTGCTAAACTTTAAAAGATTTCAATTTCTGCCATGGTCACTATTAATGTTTAGGGACCAGTAGATGAGAAAAATATTGACAGGGCTAAAGCAAAATTCTTATAATCAAACAACAAATATCTTCACTAATATTTAAAGCAAACACATGAGCTTTTCTTCCCAGAGTTAGGTTTCCAAATTTAATAATAAGCACCTATAGAGATAGCCTTCTGCTTATATGCAATGTACACATCCTTTGCTTACTGTCTTCAGATGGAGGACAGAAGGCCCCTGAAAACAACAGCAACTTTAATTTTAGTGAGAGGTTGTGAATTCTTAATCCTTTAGAAAAACACAGGCAGTTAATTTCCTAAATGGATGTTTAGAAGTCTTTCTCTGGGCATTTATGGTTTGGAAGAGTTCATACATAAATTGTTGACATCCTCATCAACAGAAATAATTAGCCTGTCCTCCTTATCAGCTCTATTTTCTTATGTGTTTCTTCATTGGAAAATGAAGGTGGGATTGTGGTATATACTACTCTGATGTAAGCCCACCTGGATGCAAGAGCACTGGAGATCAGGTACTGGGTATGTTACCATTCAGAATATTTACCGAGGGGTTTTACGAGGATTTTTAAATATGTCAGTTGTAATCCATTATTTTGTTTATTTTCTTGCTCTCTCCTAACACTCCCTTGAAGAAAGGTTCAAAAAAAAAAAATCCATTACAAGAGCACTTTCTCCAGAAAAAACCATAATGGAACAGGTTGGGGGATGGCTAGAGTAGCTTTATAGAGGAGGAACTAAGAGTCTTGAGGACAGGTTGAACATTAGACAACAGTGTGCCTTTGCTGTCTTGCATTATCAATAGCACAGCCAGAAAGTCAAGGGAAGTGATTCTGCTCTATTTAGGACTTGTGTGACTGCATCCAGAGGAGCAGGCCAGCTTTGGGCCTTCTGGTACAAAACAACATGTCAACAAACCTGAGTAGGTTCAGCCAAAACCCACGGAGATGGCCAGTGGAGAGAGCATACAATGTACAAGGACAGCTTAAGGTAGTTGAGATTGACTAGCCTGAGGAAGAGAAGACTAAAACCAGATATAAAAAAGTACCTAAAACATAGTAAAAAGAAGAAAAGGAAAAGCCAGAGTCCTCTCAGAGGTGAGTAGCAAAAGTTGCAGGGCAAAAAACATAATTTACACTGAGGCAAATTCTGATTATGTATCATGAAATATCTACATATAATGAAAATGCTCCACAAACAGGTCTTTAAAATGCTGAAATATCTCGCCCAGACAGGCTATGGAATCTCTGTCCTGGGAGATTTTTCCAAACTGAACAGGAGAAGGTCTTCAGCCACCTGATCTAACCTTTGAACTGAGGCTGGGCCACATGAAAAATCTAAGAGCCAGTTACGGCCCTGCTTCTATGACTGTCAGATAGGTGCACACACAGATATGCTTTTATTAACTAATACTGGTTTATATCTCATAAGTATAGATGTTTGATAGTGAAAATAATAAATGGAAATGATGAAATGTCCATCTAAGGCAACATCATCCATTGTTCATTACAAGCTATTTATAAAAGCACAAACCTGTAACATTCACAGAGAAACATTCATCTTTTAAAAAGACAGTATTTCTGGTTTTACATGGCAGACGTAATTTCTGTTTATATTTAAACTCAAGTTCTGACATGAAATGGCTCTTTTATCTAAAGAAGAATTCATCTTTGATTCAGAGGTTTATCAAGACAAAATGTTCAGTGCCTCTCTAAATTCTTTGTGTATACTAAAAATATATAATCTAATTCAAAATATCTTATTCTGTTGTAACAAAATAAACTTATATTATTTATTTTTAAAGCCTAACTTTACTGGGGAAAAAAAAATCTATGGAAAATATTCCTGAAACCTGAAAATAATTCTTTATATAATATTGTTGAAACAGTATTTAGCAAGTTGTGTTGAAAAACAGGTAATTCCAAAATGAAAAATATGCATTTATCTTCTCCAGTATTTTTCCTCTTAATAATCTTCCAGAAATGGCACCAGAAGGATACACTGCTGATCACTTTGTTAAGGTGGTGCATATATAAGTGACAGAATGCCAAAGCTACCCAGTGCTTCACATTCAGTCTCTCTCATCACTAACACTTACTTTATCAAACAGTATTCCTTTACCAGATGATGATTCCTTTTTTGAGTAATAGCAGTGGAGCTACAATTTTAGAATGGCTTTTTCCCCTTTGGTGCAACTCTGATCTCGATGCATCATTTATATTCGTTTGCATCACGTATAATACACTGTAACACAATTGGATTTACTGGTGCTAGACAGAAGAACTCCTAACCTTTAATGTCAGCTGCATTAGCATATAATTTCATATCTATTTTCTCAGATTTATCATTTCACCTTTTACACTGCACAAAGCTAATGTAACTTCTGCTGATGCCACTGCAGACCGGTTAGGTTATTTTATTTCTAACCTTTATGAAATGGCAATGTGCTCTTCAGAAGACCTAGAAAACTAAACTGAAATGAATTTGCTCAGTACTTTCCTCTGATTTCTGGTTGTTGGGGATTTTTTCCCCTTTACTGTTCTTTTTCATACATTATTTCTGTTCCTTCCTCACTCTCTTTTTTTTTTTTTTTTTTTTTAAATTCTCTTTAGGAACTCTTGAGAAGAGAAAAATAGTTAAACAGTCAATTGCTTGCTGCCTTCAATTACATGTCAGCTGAAAGAAAGGCAAAATTATTAAACCAGATCTTAAAACATAATTTTTAAAATAACATCTTTTCAAATGTGTTGCCTTGTTGTAAGGTTGACTGTATCAGTGTTTCTCTTAAAGTACTGACATTGCTTGGAGTAATTTCTAATCTCTACATGCCTTGAATGTATATAGTCATCCTGCCATCTTTTCTGGATGACAGGATCTATATTGTGCCATGTGTATCTGCTGTGCTGTTAAATTCTTCTTTTTAACTACATTTGATTAGGTGCTGCATTTCTTTCATCAACTTCCTCAACGTGACAAAAGAATTGTTCTCCATTTCCTCATTTTTTATGCTGTTACAAGTTTTCAAACACATTTCAAATTATCCCAGTCTAAAATTATTGTTTCTTTCAACACTATTCTCATTTTCATTGGAAATACAAAGGCACTTCTCGAATGGACTGGATTCCTTATACAATCCAGTGTAATCTCCTTTATTTACCAATTTTATATCCCAGCTCTGGTTTTGCACATTGAACTGTGGTAGAGAACAGTAAAGGAAGATAAATGGATTCTGTAATTAATGCTGTAACTTTTCTTGAGGCAGTTATTGAGCTAACAGAATCCAAAATATTAGACAAACATGAGACAAAGCAGATAATAGTGTTGGTTTGGGGTTTTTGTGGTGCTTGTTTGTTTGGTTTTGTTTTTTTTTAAACCTACAGAGAAAAGGTGGATTTTGAATCATTGACTGATCTGGTCTTATAGCAGAATGAATAGAGGTGACATGAATAAATGTCAATACCTTATCCTTTTTATTCATCTACATTATAATGGGCACCTCAATTGGCTTATGGATATGACTAAGCCTTCTGCTCTGTAGGAAGCTCTCTTTACTCACTCATTCACCAATAAGGATTTAAAACTATCCCAGCACTGATAAGAATATGGACTAGAAAACTAAGTTCTAAGCAAAGAATGTACAAAGGGAAAGAGAAGAAATAAAAAACCTGAATAGATTTTATAGGCAGCTCTTTCCTAGCTTGCTGCATCCTTAACGGCAAATCCTTGCTGTCAGCTTTGGTTTTAGCCACTACTGACTTTTCAGTTACAGCAGACTTTGTCCAACTCCCCCTGTGCAGTTTTCCTGATCCCCTTTAAAGTCCACCTTCTCACCACAGACCATCACCATCCTTGCCTCAGCTGTAGATTCCCAGTTTCCCAGAAGAGACTCCCTCAGTTGCTACATCCTGACCTTTCCTCACCAGAGCAGGCTCCGTGGCTCCCCTGTGGCAAGTGCCATCTCCTGTCTCCTCCAGATGGTCCTGCCTCACCTGGTCACTTTATTTTGAGGGGTGCAATAAATAAATAACATCTATCTGGCAACTGACTGGCATCAGACACACTTTGTATTAGAATGGCAAAAAGAAATGGAAAGGTGAAACATCACGGGATGAGTGGTATGAGTGTGATAACAATAATCCACAAAACCTTTTTCCATCGAGCCTCACAGTTGAGTTTGTTATGCTGAACAGAGTTCTGAGCAATTCAAAACATCAGTTTTTACCATTTGAAGAAACAGTAAAAAGATGGTTATATGACCATTTACAAGCCATTACCTTGTCTATGTACTATCCCCTATTCATTTCATGACTCAATTATGAGAAATTTTACAAACACAAATTAAAAAATGTTATTCTAAAGGATACATAGTTTTGGCAATTGGACCAAATTACACCAAAGTTCTTTTAAATACCTTTAACTTCTTTGTCATTCTTGAACCATCTGATATCAGCTGCTGGTTTACTACCAGATGTCTTGCAAGTGAGCTGCATCCTCTCTCCCTCCATAACTGGTGAGGTAAATCCAGTAATCTGTGGCTTCTCAGGAACACCTAACAAACAAACAAGCAAAATGTCTCTGATAGAGTCAGCTACTGCCATGAGTACATGACCAGCCTAAAGTTCACTTCTTCATGTGCTCTAAACCCTGGAAACAGGATCATTAATTCCTCGTGCCTTGCCAGTGAAGCCTTTATCCTATCGTAAATCAACTATCAGTAGTCGATTCTAAATAAAGAAAGAAAATAAAAATTAACCTGGTTTTCTAAGAGAAACAGATTGTATTTTAATAAATATCTTATCTACCTATATTCTGCATGCAGGTCTAGCTCTGACTTGTTTTAATGTTTAAACCACTCTGCACAGCAAGCAGGATGACAAAGCACATTAGAAGCACAGCTGTGAGAATGAAACATAACTGGCAACAAAAAGCTGAGCTGACCTAAGTTCAGAACAGATGTTTAAACCTGAATAATGAAGACTTTAATACAAAATCCAGGGAGAAGGGAGGATGAAAATAAATACAGGTGTCACTTTATCTTCAGAGAACACAAAACCAAAACATCAAGAGGTACAATCAGAGCTCCTTTGGCTATGGAGAGTTTTTCAGGTGAATCCAAGTCCTTTGGAAGAGGTTATATGATTTTGACATACCACACACATAATATTAAATTTGGAAATAGTGTTTTTTCAATGAACCACAAATGATTTAAAAAAAAATATGAAGAGAATTGGGAAAGTTTTGATCACTACCTGTATAAATCCAATTAACTTATGAAAACACAAGAATAAGTTATTTCAAAATAATACTGAAGACTGCAATTTTAAAATCTCAAAAAATGTCGGTTATGACTTGCATCTGCAGTGCTATGAGGCATTCATATTTGTGGCTGCATAAAGGCATCAGTCACAATAATTGGTCCTATGCCCTGTATTTCATAATTTGTTTTTTTTATATCTCTTTACCAAGATGACAGATTATGTATATAAAAAGAAAGCAGCAGTACCTCTTGCATAGCACATTTCTGTAATAAATCTATTCCTCTCTTTCAGGACAGGAAATGGTGTCTGCTATAATACCTTGGCACTTAAATCTTCTAATCAATAACAGAGCAGTCAATAAAGACATTATTAGTACATAAAAGGATAGTTTATCTGATTAAAAGATGTAATACATTTCAATGAAAAAGTTCCCCTTCTACAACAGAAAATGTCCAAAGAGTTTAGAATGTTATTTTGAAAATTACAAATACAAAATGAAAAAGACAGGAATCTTAAACGCTGCACCCTTCTTTCCTGGAAGGTGAGTAGCTGATGTTGGTAAAACTCCATGAAACCCTCCCCTAAAATGCAGATAAAACTTACAGGAATGTGAACGATCAAGTTACTTTTGTTAATAAATACTGGCTAGATGGGGTTTTTTTGTCTTTGTAACACCTTTCTATGTCTTTCTGTCATTTAACATGTTGAACTGGTGTATTCATCAATTGTTTAGATCATGAAATGCCTCTCTACAGAAAGGAAGATTAAGCACAGGCAGTTGCTATTCCAGAATATTCTGCTTTGAGTGGGTACTTTTTGTCCTTAATGGCAAACTTGTGAAGATTCTTGTAAAATAGTCTCATAGGGACTGAAAGGGAGACGTATTTCATATCCTAAGCACAAAACCAATTCTCTGGCTGGGTTAATGTGAATATTACTGGCACAGAGAATACCTTACATTAGTCCTATTAAATTCAACTGTCTGCCTATCTCTGTATAAAAATAAAACAAAAAGAAAGAAAGAGTCATGTTCAGGGACAGGAAAAAAAAAAGGAGAAAAGAATAAAAATCAATCTCTAAAATCATATAACCTCTTAGGTACGCAGGTGTGTTTCAATGAACTACGGCAATTTCAGCTGACTGGGCCACTGACATTCATAGACTCATATAAAGCTTGGAGCAGAAACTTTATTTCCTGGGCATCTCTCGAAATCTATTGCTTTTCTATGTGTATCTATAACCTTTGGGGAAAACAGCAGAGCACTTAGAGGATAAAGCAGAAAAGAAGCGGCAAACTCAGTGAAAATTTGCACTTTATAGACCAAAAAAAAAAAAAAAAAAGACAGCAGAATGAGCCAAGAAAATGCACAGCTAAGGAGAAATGATAAAGCTCTAAAGCCCGTTTTGATTTCATGCTTTCTGATTTTCTCCTCTTTGCCCTGTACAATACATTGTTAGGAGATGAACACATGCACCTTCTTCGCACTTCTGGCGCTCAGGATGTGGAGGTTATGTCCATTTCATGGAGCACTCACACCTTAGTGTTTGTGTGCTCCCTAATTCATTATCCTGCCGACAGTGCAAACAGCAAGAGGCATGTTATTTTTCAGCACAGCAATATAAAACAATAAACATCAGGGAAACCAGATCAGACATTTACATTTATCTTCTGCCAAGCTTTAGAGAGGTTCATTCTTATCATAATTTGCCAAAGCCTGAGGAGTTTAACACTTGCTTCTTTATACTCACCGAGAACGGTAAGAAAAGCCTTGGAAGTTTTGACAGGCATAGTGAATAAAGAGCAGGTGTACTGCCCTTCATCTGACAGGGACACATCGCTGACACTGATGCTCAGCTCATGCCACGAAGCTCGGACCAGCTCAATTCTGTTGTCCCTCAGAGCTGAAAGAGAAAAAATCCATGTTAAAGTAGGACACAGAACATTTATAAAGCACTGTATGTTAGGCAAGGGGCTCGATGAAGTATCCTAGTGAAATCGGGCCCTAGGACAGGGGGATATGGACACAGTTTCTACTCATAGTAGTTTGTTTTCTCTGTGGAATAAAGTATGAGAGTTTAGCAAGTTTTTGAGCAGTGTACTGAGTGGCTTGTAACATATATAAACCTATAAACTAAGTGACTTGAGTTACCTTTAACCTTCCTTTAAAAAACCCAACACTGACTTTGATATCTGTCCCCTCACAGCTTTGTTCAGTGCCTAAAATAAATCCTTCCTATACCCACTTCTTTTTCATGTATTTACAAATGTTGAGAATCCTGTGTCTACCATTGCAGGGCTTGCCTGCAGATTTTTCCCATGTCCACTACTGCTCATGTTGAACTGGAATATCAGATTCCCTGAATTCTGTAACAGAGTATTTTTTATTATGAACAGGTTGAAATTCCACTTCTACACGCATATATAGTACATTTAATGATTTGAAGTAATTAAGTATAAGTGGCCTTGCTTTTTTGATTATGACTAAAAATATGATCTTCTATCATAAAATCCTTTCTATAAAATTTTGTTGGCACGAAACCAATGAGGGAAAAGTAGCATGGAGGTTCACTCACATTCAAAATGTCACTTTAGTTAATGCTTTAAAATTTAAAACATTTTAAAACCTCTATTTATATTAACCCCCAAATTCTATTGAAAACCAGCCAAAACATTCCCAAACATTCTATTTATCTGCGGTAAAGCTGTTTCAGGAACCTGAAACATATTTTAATCATATTTAGCATATATAACCAAGACTTTCCACAGCATAGAAATACTAATATCATAAGTCAGTAAACAGTTATTCTCCTAAGCAAACAATAAAAAAGCCTCTGTAACTCAGAGATATTAGCTGTATACCTCTAGATTCAAATCTCTGACAGTGTGGACAAGTGAAACTTCAGTGACTCCACTTTTGTAGTAAGCTTCTGAAAATCAAGAGTAAATTTGGACTATGGTATTTGTCAGGAGAGTTATGCTTGCATTTTTGAGAAGAACTAAGATGTTCAAGTCCCTAATGCTGTTCTCACTCACCTTTTCTGAAGTCCCCAAAGCCTCTTAGTTTTGTCTAACTGACTATTGTCTTCCAATAATAAATAACAACAACAAAAAAGTTTTACTGTGGCTCTTTTGCTACTAAACATTTCTGCCCCATTGCTGTTCAAGTCAATCCAGGAAGAATAAGCAGCTATAGTGAAGATTCAGCAAAAATGTCACTTGAATTTGTCTTCTTCTAAGGCTCCCACTCAGTTTTTTTTCTTTTTTTCCACCAGAAATTTTCAGCTGAGTTTACTGATTATTTCAGGGCAGGCCAGCTAAAGCTCGACTTCCTCTCTGCAGGCTCTGACGACTGAAAGGTGACAGCTTAAGCAGACCTAACATACAGTGATGCCATGAACTACTTCAAGGCACATCAAAGTGACTGAGATTGTGAAATGGACACATTCCAAGCATAACTGAGACATTGGCTGGCCGGCCACAACAGGAAAAAAAATTAACTACGTAGTATAAAATATAAAATGCATAGAATGGTGAAAATAGGAGCGACATTAAAGCAAACAAGCAAGCAAAACAGAAGCCATAAAATGGAAAGCTGTGTGTGTACCAATATGCTGACATAACAACCAAGAAAAATAAGCTCAGGAAAACAAAAAGTACATAAAGCAAGCATCTACCAACCCCAAGTAGCAGGCAAAGCTGATGACTGGGGCTTTACCAGCCAAAACTCACAACAGTGAAGCTGTTGCTATCTTTGAGGAAGTAGAGGGGGACTCAAAATTCCTTTCTCAGCTTTTCAGTTCTAGTCAGATGCAAACTGAACAGACCTAAGAATGGTAGTTTATTTCACATTACTGACCTTCCAAAAAAAAAAAAATTATTTTCAAAGTGACTCGGTGCTTTCAAATGGTTTGGTCACCACCATACCCATTGTAAAATTTGGCAACAGCATAGAAAATAGAAAAGAAAAAAACAACAAAACAACAACAAAAAACAAACAAACAAACAAACAAACCCAAACCCCCAAAACAACAAAAAACCTCTCAGCACTACATAATATGAAAGTGGTGATTTTTGCTTCCCCTTAATCAGAAACTACTTAAAAAATAATGCAGCGCATCATCTTACATAGTATTTTCCTTTGTTACAGTTTTCAATTGTTACTGCCTTGTGACAAAGATTTATCTATCTGTTGAAATACTTTCCTACAGATGGGGCAGCAAGTAGAATTTCATGCACTCAGAAGAACAGTAATGAATTGCACTAGAGCACAACTGGTGTACAGATGATGCCAACAGCACACCATTTCAATCCTACAATTGAAATACAAACCGTTTCCATCAACTACATTCCTACTGCTCCTCTCCCTCACTTCCTCCCCTCCATACCTTTTTAACCTTTGTACAATATAAAAACCTCAGCTGAGTCAATTTTCTGTAAAACTGGTAAAAACAGCCACTGGTCAAGAGATGAGATCAGATGTTCCATGTTTCAGTCTGGAGTGAATTTTTATTGAAAGAACATAAGGGTTGTTTTGTAATGGAAATACGAGCACAGAACCTTTGCAATAAATGCTGCAAATAGCACCAACATAATACTCCTTTGCACCAAAGCCATTTGCCAGAAGCATTGTTTCAAGTGCTAAGTCTAAAGACAATGAATTATCTGTGCCATCACTTCCAAATCTGCCCATCTGCAGGTTTTCCTGTCTACGCAGATGTGAGAGCAAACCAAATTTTACTGCTAATGCTTAGATAAGGCCATCATTTACAGACTTCTTAGAATCTTATTTTCAAGCTGCATTTCTATATCTGTTAGTATCTGTCTAGAAAGACACCGGTTTCTCCTCATGAGAGTGATAGCCGTGATGGATACCAGAACTGGTTTGTTTCCATTTCCTGTGTTAGATATATTTTGCTAAAAGGACAAAGCTGGATGACAGAAAGGGTGGCTGCCTGTCTAGTCCTGGTTCCTGCACCCTGGGGCAGAGAGAGCCCTCTGGAAGAGGATGACTGGCTGCCTTAGACAGCAAAGGAAACATCAGCAACACTGGAGAAGCCAGGATTTCTAGCCAGCTCCCAATATCCAGGCATTGTGACTGAGTGGAGCAGAGTCTTGAGCACAGCACACAGTAAAGTCTTGCCAGATCTGGCTGATGAAGCAAAGAAGCCCATGGAGGCCAGACAGAATCTACTGAAAGGTACCAACTGGAAAGCAAAAGTATTAAGGAGAAGACATACTCTGCAAGGAGCTACTGGATGAGAAGGAGATTTATTTACAATGATCTATTCAAACTCTTTCAGCTCAATAGTTCTACTTATTTAATGACCTATCTCATCCAGGTTATTTTTCTCTTTTTAAAGGACACGAGTTTCCAAAGCTTTCTGTAAGCTTTTTAATTGCTCTTATTTGAATAGAGAATTGCCCCAAAAGAGGGTTATTCACTACAAAGTTCAAGCCAACTTAAAGCTCCACCATAGTAGTTCAAATAAAATTCTGTAAAGTAAAATACAAAATGGTCTCTTTTATTTAATTAGCAGATGAAAACAAAAAGTGGAACACATATAGGGACATTCTGCATGAATTTGCAGTTTGGTACACACTAGTAAACAGACTAGATTTCCTGTATACTGAAATGTCTGTTCATTGTTCAGCATCTCATAATATGAAAGGAGTGATTTTTGCTTTCCCTTAAGCAGAAATTATTAAAAAATAATGCAGTACATCTTCTTACATAGTATTTTACTCTTTGACTTGCTATTTCAAATGGCAAATGTCGATATTTCTAGCTCACCACAAACTGTTTATTAGTTGTGTTACGATAGCAACTAGACAGCACAGGTGCTGGGCACAGAAAATAAAGCTTCACCCTTACAGACTCCACAAGCTCTGTCCTCACTTGACTTGCATGGTTTCCTACCCCCTCTCCTACCTCTGCCTGATCTTCCAGGACTTTCTTTGGAAACTCTTTCCTTTTTTCCATTTCACTTTGTTAGAAGCCACACAGACCTTTCTGGACTCTTCCTGCAGATTTTAACCTACATTCCTGAATCATTACCCTACCCATCGTTTGCATCCCTATATTTTGCATGATACAGAGATGCTAGAGAAAGGGTAAATAAACAGAATATGTATTTGACTCCTGAGAAATGCACATATGCCAAAACAGTAACAAAGAATACCAGTACTGACATCTCTTTTCTGTATTCTTATGTTGCAAGCCCTTTAAAAAATACAAAATGCAACAAGAAATATAATTGCATAGTAAATTCCAATATGCCCTAGGTACATTATTTCAGTTTTCTGTAATTCCCAGGCACATATAATGTAGTTAATTTGCAAGGCATGAAATAATTATGCATAAAACACTTGTTCCTAAGCAGACACACTTCATTTATTTTACCTGTCATTCTCTTCTCCTGTGGAAAAGATTTTCTTTCAGAATGTTTTCTGACACAGAAAAAAGCAACCTTGATAATTTGCATAGTTTTGGTAATTATGAGTAAAAGATAGCCATGTATTTCATCTGTATTAATTAGCAATTGTTGAGACTGATGACCAGTGCAATAAACTGGTCTCCTTACTCACAATCACAAAAAGCTGTACTTTACTTTTTGCAGAAAAAAAGAAAAAAAAAAAGATCCTGTGTTTTTGTAGGGAAATCTTGCAAGAGGAATTATATTGAAGAGAGAAAAGACACTTAGAAATTTGCAGAAATGGAAAAATCATCCCCATTTCACACTGTGAGGAAAAGGCAGTTGGACCTGTCAGACATAGCCACACAGCAACATCTCTAATGTTCCTTTATCTAAAATGACCACATCTTCCTAGTATTTTGAGTCATTTGTTTGAAGAACGGGGAAAAAACCAAACAACAAAAAAAAACCAAACCAAACAACAAAAT